CCTGGGAACCACGTGGCGCCCCCTGCCACAGCCTGGGTCGCCTGGGCTATGTGTCCCCACCCCCCTCCGGTCACTGACGCACCCTGTTCGTGGGGGACTGAGCCTCCTGTGCAGACTTGGTTGAGCGCCTGCAGCCGGCTACAGATTGCTGAGTATTTCTGGGGTTTCCCTCCAGATGCTGCTCCCGGACAGTGTCTCGCCTACGCTTGTGTGCATGGAGTGCTTCTTTCTTCTCGGCTCCGTGCACTTCCTGGGTAGGGCAGACGTGTCCACAGAGATGGCTGGTCACCGGGCTTACTTACTGGCATGGCAGGGGCTCGAGGAAGAAAGCACGGAGCCTGGTCGGAGGCCCCTCTGAGCAGCCAGCTGGTATTTCAGAGCCTGGAGGCGTGACACACTGATGACTAGACAGCTTGTCATCCTGGGCTGCAGAAGCCACAACTGCGTGAAGGTCTGGCCAGACTTCGCGTTCCGCAGTCTTTCCACCCGGTGTTCTATGGAATGCACATGATGGCATTTAATGTGTCCAGTCCCTTCCTTAAAGGGAAAAACACTGGACCAGTACTCCAGAGGGACTCCTAGTTCAAAGCTTACTCAGTAACTTTCTTTGCAGACTCAGTAGCTGTGCAGATCATTCGGGTTTTTGCAGTATTAGCTCATTTCAAGCGCAGGTAGAAGCATTTGAAGCTGCGAAGGAGAGATCTCAGACATTTTCACAATCAGACAGTTCAAGCCCGTGTGTACGCTATGGACTCCATAAAATGCTCAGCTTTCGTACGCACGTCAGTTGGTCTTGCTTACAAAGTAAGTGCTGTGCCTGTTATCACCGTGGCTCTGCGCGTAAGAAGCATAGACTCAGAACCACAGGAATTCATCCCGGTGCCGCTGCTTCTGTGGGCGGGGAGACAGTAGGGGCTGTCATGGAGCATGGCCCTCGGTGGGAGGGCGGTGCGGAGATGTGCCACAAGTATACCATCCACCAGCTAGCAAAGAACAGATCTCGGTCATTATTCTTCATGTTGACTTCATGGGGAAACGATAATATTTTTATTTGATTGGGTTAAACAGGATGCATTGTTAAGATTAACGATGCTTGTCATTTTTTACGGGGCACCTGACTGGCTCCGTTGGAGGAGCATGCGACTCTTGATCTTGGGGTCGTGAGTTTGAGCCCCATGTGAGGATGTAGAGATTACTTAAATAAATAAAACTCTAAGAAATGCTTATCGTTTTTACTGTTGAAAATGTGAGCGTTAGAAAATTTAAAGTCACAGGTGTGGCTCTCCTTACGCGGGACCTTTGCCATGGCTGCTCGCGGCTCCAGGAGCAGGCCCGGGGCTCCCGTCCTCTTCTCGTGGCTGAATGGCTTGCTGATCCCTGCTGATGGCCCTTTTGGCTTTTTAAGGAACATGTGCAGTCCTGTCCGTGCTGGTGCTTTGACGTCTGCACCATTGCACAGTGACACCTGTTATCCACGGGCTCATCACGTCCGGGCCGTACTGTGAGCTGGCTGCTAGCTTGGGGTCTTGGACACGTCCTGTCAGCCTGATGTGTGAAACATTGAGTTTGAGGGTTCACAGAGCCCCACGGCCCTCCCCCTCATTCGGGAAGCAGGAAACAGAGCTGCGTGGATGCCTGCCTCCACTCCCAGGGTCACGTCCCCATGCCAGCATATGGGCACGCGTTGGAAGGAAGCTGCGCACACAGCGCCCCTGTGCCACCAACAGTGCTTGCCTGACAGGCACGGATTGGATCTGGGCTCGGGACAATGTTTACTTCCTTCTCTGGTCCTATGTCCTGACTTTCTCCTTGCAGTGTGAGTCCTGGAGCAGGACAATGGACCATCCACAGAGGACACAGCTCAGAGCCTGCTGGGCCCGAAGGACACTTGATGTAGTTGACAAGGACGTAGAGGTTGCAGACAGCGCGTGCGGCCTGATTGCCCCACACAGGGCGGGAGGGCCGCTTGTGGCTGTGACATCAGGTGCGAGCAGGTGGCAGAGGCTGGTCTCCCCGGGGCTGTGGTGTGCCCGTGCCTGGCAGAGCAGCCTCGTGAGTGCACGGAAAAGTGCAGGCCGGCTGGGAGGGGTTGTTGAGCAGAGAAGCGCTCAAGGACCTGCATCCCACCATGCTGAGCTGCGACTGTTTATTGTGCCGTTTGGGCCTCAGCCATATGAGGTCATAGGAACGCGATGGAAAAGACCTCCTGTATTAGGTCATCCAGCCCGTCCCTCGGAGCCGACTGACCCCACAGTATACTTTCCAGAGCTCCGTCCAGTTTTTCCAGTGACTCAGCGGCTCCCAGAGGAGGGCGCAAAAGGCTGGTGTCTGAGCCTGCTACCTTGGGCCAGGATTTGTTCCTCGGCGCCTGGACGGAGCTCCCGGGGACGATGCCGTTGTTTGCAGAGAGATGTGGGCTACGTCCTGCCTCTGTCATGAGCACGTGTGACTGCAGATGGTCTCAGGTCCCTCTACAGCACGGGTGCGGCGCGGGGCTCCTGCTGCTGAGCCTTCCAGGACTTGGCGGGGGCACCTCACATCGCACTTTATAGTTTTCACAGCTTGTTCCCATTTGTGAGCTCATTCAAGCCTCCCCGTTCCTGAGGACGGAGTTGATCTTATTATCCTCTGGCCACCTCCCTGCCTCCATTCTGGTCCTCGTGTGTCAGACGAAGCGTCTCGCCCACGTGTTGGTGGGCAGTGCAAGGCTGCTTCATGTGAGCTGAGCGCACGAGCACCTTGGCCACGCCCTCCTCCCCTTCCCCTGGGGTGCCACGTGCTCTCCTTGACCTGGGGCCACTCCCAGGCTGCAGTGTCCCCTGGCCGTGCCCATGACGGTGATCTCCGTGTGTGGCGTGGTGCACTGCCAGCTCAGTTAGATCTGGTGCCCTCGCTGCTGACATCCATCCCACGGGACAGAGGACTTGGAACACGGCTGTACACAGTCGATCCACAGCGAGTTGGTAAACGGGCACCCAGGACTCTGATGATTCACAGTCTTCAGTTCCTTTGTCTTGACCTAACCAGGGATCTAAAACTTTCCCTAAAAGAGGCATTAACATTTATTGCAAGTAGTTGGTCATTAAGATTTCTCTTAAAATCGTTCCTTTTTGTTGTCAGCTTGAGGATATTAAATTTTTAAAGGCAGGCTCACCACGCATGTGGTTAAAGTACATTTCACAATGCAAGTAGTCTCGATAGGATTGCAATAAAGTGGCTGTTCTCAGCAGTGCATGAGACGTATGAAGCATGACGTGAGTCCCAGAGAGGGGGTGAGGGGCCTGGCCTCCAGGAGCCCCAGGTGCACCCACAGGGTTGTGCTTTGGTAGCTGCTTCGTCGCCTCGGGCTATGGAGGTATCTGTGAAATGTTTCCAACAGATAGGCAAGACAGGGGTTTGGCTTTTCTTCCACTTCCGTCTGCAGCTAGGTACGTGGGTGCAGACAAGTTATGAAGACAGGGATTGGGTCCTGGATGGGCCCTGGGCCAGCCGACCCCCCGCCCCCCGCTACTGCTGTGTGGCTGGAATAGCAGGGCCCCAGGGGCATTGTCAGGAGGTGTGGGGGCTGTGGCCTGGAGCAGGGCCAGAGGGCTGACGCCTCATCTGCTTCAGCTCTGCCGCCCTGGGGGTCAGTGCTCCCTGGAGGTCAGAGCTCCCCGGGGGGGGGTTCAGAGCTCCCTGGGGGGGTGTCAGAGCTCCCTGGGGGTTCAGCGCTCCCTGGGGGTCAGTGCTCCCTGGGGGTCAGTGTACCCTGGGGGGGTCAGAGCTCCCTGGGGGGTCAGAGCTCCCTGGGAGTCAGTGCTCCCTGGGGGTCAGTGTTCCCTGGGGGTCAGAGCTCCCTGGGGGGTCAGTGTTCCCTGGGGGTCAGTCCTCCCTGGGGGGTCAGAGCTCCATGGGGGGTCAGTGCTCCCTGAGGGTCAGAGCTCCCTGGGGGTCAGTGTTCCCTGGGGGTGAGTGTTCCCTGGGGGTCAGTGTTCCCTGGGGGTCAGAGCTCCCTGGGGGGGTCAGTGTTCCCTGGGGGTCAGTCCTCCCTGGGGGTCAGAGCTCCATGGGGGGTCAGTGCACCCTGAGGGTCAGAGCTCCCTGGGGGTTCAGCGCTCCCTGGGGGTCAGTGCTCCCTGGGGGTCAGTGTTCCCTGGGGGTCAGAGCTCCCTGGGGGGTCAGTGTTCCCTGGGGGTCAGTGTTCCCTGGGGGTCAGAGCTCCATGGGGGGGGTCAGTGCTCCCTGAGGGTCAGAGCTCCCTGGGGGTCAGTGTTCCCTGGGGGTGAGTGTTCCCTGGGGGGGGGTCAGTGCTCCCTGGGGGGGTCAGTGCTGCCCAGGTGTCAGTGCTCCTCAGGGGTCAGAGCTCTTTGGGGGTCAGAGCTCCCTGGGGGTCAGAGCTCCCTGGGGGGTCAGAGCTCTCTGGGGGTCGTGTTCCCTGGAGGTCAGAGCTCCCTGGGGGTCAGTGCTGCCTGGGGCTTTAGTGCTCCTTGGGGGTGTCAGTGCTCCCTGGGGGAGTTCAGTGCTCCCTGGGGGAGGTGAGAGCTCCCTGGGGGGTCAGAGCTCCCTGGAGGTCGTGTTCCCTGGGGGGTCAGAGCTCCCTGGGGGGTCATTGCTTCCTGGAGTTTAATGCTCCCTGGGGTTCAGAGCTCCCTGGAAGGGGGTCAGTTTTCCCTGGGGCGTCAGTGCTCCCAGGGGGTCAGTGCTCCTTGGGGTTCAGAACTCCCTAGGGGTCAGTGCTCTCTGGGGGGGGTCACTGCTCCCTGGGGTTCGGTGTTCCCTGGGGTTCAGTGCTCCTTAGAGGGGGGTCAGAGCTACCTGGGGGTCAGTGCTCCCTGGTCGTCAGTGCTGGTGAGCCGCAGAGCTGAGACCCAAACCCAGGATGGGAGGACAGAGTGTTTGTCATCCCCACTGACTCACAGAATTTCCCAAGTACTATAAAAGTGATGGAAAGAAATAGCATCTATTTTTGAGAGTTTAAGAAAGGGCAACCCCTCCCGCCCTGTGTGCTGCTCTTGCAGATCCTGAGGAAGCTGAAGAGTCTCGCCCTGGACACTGAGAAGGAACTGGAGAGGCATGACGAGGCCCTGGACGGCATCACTGCGGCCGTCGACCGGGCCACCTTAACCATCGACAAGCATAACCGACGTGCCAAAAAACTGACCTAGGACAGAAGAGCAGAGAGGTGACTAGTTTTGATGACAGTCACTCCCCTGAGTACTTTGTTCTCAACACCTGCACACGTCCTTGACATAAACACCTGGAAAGTCATTCCAAGGGCGGGTTAGTAGTTGGAGGCCCTGCGCCAGGAGGTGCAGGCTTGCCTCAGGGTGAAGGATCCCGACCACTGCACACGCGGGAAGGAGGAGCTCCAGGAGAGGGGAGTTCTGCCTGCAGATCCGGCAAGCCCCCCCCAGCACCGCCCCTGCAGTGGTGGCCCCAGCTCCCCTTGCTCCCCGCTCCCCGCAGGCCCTGGCTCCCCACTCATACTTGAGCACTTCAGAGGGTCCCCAGCAGCAGGAAGGCTCGTCCCTGCAAGGCTGGTTGTACCCAGTGCTCGATGCCTGCTTTGCATGGTTAGCATGGCCACTAGCTGAATTTTTATTCTCTGTTCTTGCCAGGTGTAAAAGGGCCATTTAAATCCCTATGACAGAAATGTGCTGATTTCTGAGTCTGCGCACCTGAACCCTGCATCCTGTGTCAGCAGAACCCCTTCTCCAGGACCATAGACAGGCCCGAGCCTGTTCCCCTCTGCAGGCTGCTCTGCATGGGCCCGTCCACAGTCACTTTGTTCTGTGACTTGTTTTGTTCTCTGACGGGCCGGTTTCTTTTTGGTTGTACTGTGACTCCAGTTCCTCTCAAGGTCATCCTGTGAACACTGGGAATATTCTTTTCACTGCCCAGTTCATAGCCAAGTGTAAAAATAATACACACTGCACCTATTTAAAAAGTGTTGATTTTTTTCTTTAACTGCCCCATTTCTATCCAGAAACAAGAGAGAAATCATAGTTTTAGAATATATTTTGAAGATAGGCGTTCATGCTGCTTTTTGCTTGGTTTTGGGTGCGTTAGTGGGAGGGCCCCTCAGGGAAGTACGGACGGGGGCAGAGTGGAGAACTGAGTGACCCCTTCCCCTGTCACAGCAGAACAGGCCACCTCTAGACTGCTTTGGTGTAGTGTCCCGGAGGGCAGTGCACAGAGAGGTGCCATTGGGCCTTGTTGAAGTGTCCCTTTGAGGCACCTTTCCTCTGGATCTCCTCCGGCAGGCCCTGTGCTGGCATTCTGAGTCCCGGGTGGCTTGAAGAGTGAATGCACAGGTGCAGTGCTAGTTTTCTGGGGCTGCCAACAAATGACCACAAATGGGGGTCTTAGGACAGCAGGCTTTGTCCTCTCCCGGGTCTGGAGGCCAGGAGTCTGTGGTCAAGGTGTCGCAGGGCCATGCCCCCTCTGAAGGCTCCGGGAGGTTCCCTCCTGCCTCTCCCATCTGGGAGCGGGGGGGCAGGCGTTCTGGGCTCGTGGCCGCGTCTCCCCAGTCTCTGCCTCCCACTGCATGGCAGTCTCAAATCTCCCTCTCCCTTCTCTCATCAGGTCAGCCTTTGCCTTGTGTGACAGTTTCCACTAAGGTTGCATTCCAAAGTTTGGTGGGGTCCCCTAGGAGTGCTCAGCCTTCTGGAAGCTGACCTGTTCAAGAAGACACAGGAAGGAGCAGGTCCAGAGAAGAACCTTCCCAGGGGCCTTCTAATTCTTCACTCTTTGAATGTGCTGAATTCTGTTCCTAGTCTCCAGCTGCTTTATTTGCTCTGTACTTCCCATCCTTCCAAATGAGAAGTGCACCTGTCCTTTCAGGGTTTCCGAATGCAGTGCTGGTGTGTGAGTGGCTGCTCCTGGCCTTTCCTGGCACAGTGAGGGTGCAGCACAGCCATTGCAGAGGTCGCAGTGCCAGGCAGCTCCTTCCGCTCAGGCCCAGCGCTGGGGAGGGCAGGGAGAGCACAGCCGATATGTGGATGCAGCAGCAAGGGTAGTCACTGGGAGTTTCCACAGTGCCCAGAGGCGGTGGCCGGACCGCACCCTCTGGTGCTGGGGATGATGCCGGAGGAGAGGCAGCCCAGGCCCCAGGCCCAGGGCGAGTGCAGGGGACAGGCCGTGTGCCCAGAAGCTGCAGCTACTCCCAACAGCCCTCGAGGAATGGCGACGTTCCCCGAGGTGGAACATGTGGTTCTAAGCCACAGCCGCACTCTGGGCTTGCACCAGGGACTCAGAAAACGCCCACACACCCACCGACCCCAGGTTGCTCGTCAGAATCTGTACAGGTATACATGCTTCTCAAGTGTTTCTAAGGAGCAGGCCAGGTGACTTACTGCCAGCAGGCCTGCTTTCTCCCATATCCGTCTGTGGAGAGGCCTGAGCAGCCAAAGGGAAAACAGACCTGCCCCACCCTTGATGCTCTTCTGAATCCCAGGAGGGCGCTGCTCGGGAAGTCCAGCCAGCTTCCACTTGTCCTGAAGACACGCACTGCCCAGCACCTGCATGGCATGGGGGCTGCACACACTTAGGCCGGTGACAGGACTCTGCCAGGAACAAGTCTCCTTTTCCAGCACCTGGGGATGCTTAAAACCCCATGCACTGGGCATGAAGGTATGTGGGACCAAAGGCATTGTAGCATTTTTAGAGGACTATTCTATAGGCCATTCTCTCCCACACATACTTAAATGACAGAGACTACAGTCTTTCTCTGCAGATTTACAGTGTTAAAAAGAAAGGTCCATCAGGATCTTTTCATGGTACTTAACTAACCTTGACCCCAGACTTAGCTTGTTCACCTTAGACCCTTCCCATAGCAAAAAATCCATTGCCAAACTGATCTGCCTGCAGCCTAAGCACAGAAACCTACCTGTTGAACTGACTGCTAGTCTCCAAGGCAGAGGCAAAAGTGCAAAAACCTTATGAAACCAGGCAATAACTCCAAAACCCACTACTCCCAATCCCAGCTGTACACCACCACACCACCTCCGACTGTTCCCACAACACCCCAGGTACTCTAACTCCACCCCCCACTGCTCCCCACCCCAAGTGCTCTAACTGTACCCCTCACTGCTCCCCTTCCAGGTGCTCTAACTTTATCCCTACTACTCTTCCCTTTATGTGGGCTCACTCCACCTCCTACTACTCCCTAGTTTGGGTGGACTGGCTCTGCCTCCACATTTTGGACTCTTGTAGAGAACATAACTGAGAGTGGACACTGAGTTGCTCCTGGAAGCTGGACAAGGGGAAGCAGGTGAGCGGTCAGGCTCGTGATGTCTCCTGTGATCCTCAGGTAGCCCAGGCATTGGTGTGATGGCTGGAGCCAAGTTCTCTGCATCAGGCGAGTAGATTCTCTGGAGAGTGTCAGGAGGACCGGGGGACTATGGTCAGCAGTAGCTCGCTGTTTGGAGTGGGGCCTGTGGCATCCCCTCCTTCCTGTTTTACTTTCCTAATGTGGACCTTGAACTCTGTATATGGGGTTGAGGTCACCCATGTGCTTTATTCCTGCACCAAAATCTGTTTGTCCTTGAACTGATGGGGTTGGATTATGTTGGTCTGTTGTCATCCTGTGAGGTGTTTGCACTTCCTAAAACACAAAATGCTTTGAGTTCGGTTTTACTCGACATAACTGTGGGCCAAAAGCAAGACTCTCGCAGCTGTGGCACCCGCATTGTGCTGACATGAGACTGCTGATTCTCAGTCAGGACCAAACAGTCCTGAGCTAATCAGTTTGTTTTGGGCAGGGATGGGCACACTTCTTCTGTAAAAGGCCCAGAAGTAACTACCTCATCTTTTGAGCCATAGGATGTCTGTTGCAACATCTGAGGTGTGCTGTTTACAAGACAGCAGCCTAGACTTGTAAGCAAATGGGCTTGATGTATTCAGAGAAAGCTGCCTGTGACATTCAAGTGTGTCATGAAATGTTATTCTTGTTTTGATGCTATTGTTTCAACTAATTGAATTTTAAACACGTCCTAGCACGCAAGCTGTAGGGCAGGCGGCAGGCCCACCACCCGCCCAGGGGTGTGTGTTCCTTAGGAGGCTGCACTTGGCCTTCTGTCCTGGAGGGTGACACACTGCCCTCTTCAGCCCCAAACTCGAGTGTGGCCTGAGCAGCTGGGAGATCCCCACTCCGTTCCCGGGCTGTGCTCAGCTGCCCCGAGCTTCAGAGGCTGCAGTGATGGCACATAGTCCTGTCCCCTTAAAAGGCAGACCTAGGAGAGGGGAGGGAGAGAGGTGAGGAATGACTGGTGCTGGTTTCCACAAGTGACTTTCTCTACAGGCCCCCAAATCTTCACACGCAGAAATTTTAGGAGAGGAAAAAACAAACATCCTTGAGACATTTTCAAATACCACACACACAAAAAACCTCGACTATATGCAGTCAGGGTGGGGGCTCTTGGTTGGGTTTGGAGTTTGATAAAATGCCCTCTAGGAGGCAGTTCTGTTGGTTGGGACGTCAACCCTGGCACGAGACCATCAGCCTCACCTGCGAGGAGCCCCTGCATTCTCACCTGCTGCCAGTTTAATTATTAGCTATAGGCTTGAGTAAAACTTGAAAGACACGCAAATTGTAGTCAGTTTTCACATTTGCAACTGATTTCCACATCCACATAATATTTCAGACTTTTGGCACCCATCTGGAAACTTGGAACAGCAGCAAGCCTGTCGAGGAGGTAATTTTCCCTGATTCATTTTGAAAGTGAAAAGCCACAGGGCTGGAGGCAGGGGTGGTCTTGCTTCCCAGAAGGGCTGCTCAGTCTCGTCCCTTGGTTTCCTCAGCACACGCAGGCAGGCAGGAACAGAGGGAAGGTATCGATTTGCAGATCCCAGGAGCTCCTCCCAGCCCAGGAGAGCCACACAGGGGTCACACTCAGTATCCGGGGTGGAGGGCCATGGTGCCAGGTAAGGAGCCCTGGGCTGCAGGGACACGGAGCTAGGGGCAGGACCAGAGTGGAGACTGTGCTCTGTCGGCCTGGCCTGCACGTCCAGGGCTCCAGCAGGTATGGATGAGCATGTCCTCAAAGCATGGTTGGTGCCCCGTCATGTACAACTGCTGTCCTGGCAGTGGCTCCACACTGATCCTCTGGCATCCTCCCCCACCAGCTTCCCCAGGGTCCTTCAGATTCTGCTTGGGGCAGGCGTG